ATAGTATAGTATGTCATAAAAATATGATTAAAAAAAGTCATAGTATAGTATATCATAAAAATATGATTAAAAAAGTCATAGTATAGGATGTCATAAAAATATGATTTAAAAAAGTCATAGTATGTCATAAAAATATGATTAAAAAATAATAGTATAGTATGTCATAAAAATATGATTTAAAAAAATAATAGTATAGTATGTCATAAAAATATGATTAAAAAGTCATAGTATAGTATGTCATAAAAATATGATTTAAAAAAGTCATAGTATGTCATAAAAATATGATTTAAAAAAATAATAGTATGTCATAAAAATGTAAGAAAAATAAGCCATAGTATGCCATAAATGTCATTTAAAAGGTCATATTATATCATGTCATGAAAATAAGATTAGAAAAGTCATAATGTAGTTCATCACAAAAATGTTACAAAAATAAGTCATAGTATATAGTATGCCATAAAAATTTGAAAAATGCTTTAAAAATGCATTCATACCCCTCAAATTGTATTTTGATTATTCCCTCCCCCTACATTACCTGTAACCTTGTACTTTATTGTATAGATACAGGAGATAACAACACCTTTTCTTGTCTTGTAAAATTTACTTTCATTTGAATCTGGACACTCTACTGTAGATTACAGATAGTTCAGCAGTGTGCAATTTCTGCCAGTGTCATTCCTCAGACTGCCACCAGATGTTGCCAAAGTTGTGTTAAAATCCAAAATCCAAATGTTAAAATCCCACACATCATAGGGTTAAATATATTATTATAAATATTGTAAACTTACCTGTTCAAGTCACTGTTTGATTCAGTTTGGTGCATAAACAAACAAATATTCCAGTCTTAATTTTTTTTAATGTTGCATTTCACACAGATGGACTGATGACATTTAAAGCAATTTCAAAGGTTAATGTGGCCTTGAAGACAGCATTAAGGCAGTGTAGGGATAACTCCTTTAAAATGTGCTGCATTCTGTTTCTCCTCTCTGTAGACACTACATGCTGGCAGCAACGGGTGACAGGGGAGCAGCAGCAGCAGGCACAGGGAGCGGAGTCTCCGTCCCACCTCTGCAGCCTATCCTCAGGAAGACATGGGTGCTGGGCCTGAGTGTCTTCTACGTCTTCTTCATTTCCATCATGGTGTTCCCTGCTGTATCTTCAGGGATCCAATCTGTCAACAAAGCCAGCGGCAGCCCCTGGACAACCACTTACTTTGTGCCCCTCACCAGTTTCCTCCTGTACAACGTAGCAGACTTTTGCGGCAGGCAGGCCACAGCTTGGCTGCAGGTCCCTGGCCCCACCAGCCAAGTCCTCCCTGTGCTGGTGGTGTGTCGCTCCGTCATGGTGCCACTTCTCATGTTCTGCAACTTCCAGCCGAGGGACCACCTCCACACTGTGCTATTCGGCCATGACGTGTACCCTGTGGTCTTTAACTGCCTGCTAGGCCTCACTAACGGCTACCTCGGCACTCTGCCGATGATCTATGGCCCTAAGGTGGTACCTCGAGAGCTGGCAGAGGCCACAGGAGTGGTCATGTCCTTCTTCCTCACTCTGGGACTGGCTGTAGGATCTGCTTTCTCTGTGCTTATTGTGCACTGCATTTGACAAGGCTGTTATAAAATAGCCCATCCATTCACTGTGGTATAGTTGAGCTATACAGTCGAGTCTGAAGAACACCAGAACCTCAGAACTATGATGCGACGTACACCAGTACAGCCAGCTGTCTGCATGAGGGAAAGTGCTGATAAGCTTCTCATCTCCGCTCTTAACCAAAAAGCCTTTGACTACTTCATACCTCACATTAATGTGTGTTATGTTTACACTGATGGGGTTGTACCTGTCAAGACTTGATCTCTACATATATAATATCAGGAAATGATTCTCTTAGCAACAATAGATATCAGTGCAGTCCATAAGGGACACGTCACTGGACAAGTTCTTTTGTTTTTCATACTGCAAAACACATTTTGCACAAATGTATTAGGTTCCAGGGTAAGATACCAAAAAGGTTAGGTGGAAACGCAGCTTAGGGGTGAACTTTTGTGGTACTATGTGCATTGTTATGTAGAAGGTGTTCAATATTAGTTTAGTTCAACTGTAATTAAAAAAAACGTATAGATGGTAAAGAAGCACCACATTTTTGTGACGGATACAGCTCAAAACATGGCTGATTGTCATTCAACATGTGGTTATTCATGTCTGCCCTGTAACTACTTGACACAACTTTATAAACTGAACATTTACAGTAACAAATGATGTCTTGGTCATCATTCTTAAATGTGCACTTCAGCTGCAGTTTTAGAACCTGTAATATTTGAAATATTTTAAGCATACTATCAATAAGAGTTCTTTAAATGACACAGACATGACTGACTGCTGAGGTTGCACAAAATTTGGTTTCCTACTAGCAGAAGTGAGCACCCTGTAATAAACAAGGAGGCAGCAGGTTTTTACGACAAGCTTGATAAAAAATACTGACCTAAATTCAGTTTACAACGGAAGAAACAAAATAAACCAGGTGGATTGGGATCACTTTAATTGTTAAAAATTTTACAGACCAACTGACAGTTGGCGCTGGGATCGAGGCAGACAACGATCGAATTCAAGATGCTCTTTGTACGTTAGAAACAGTGATTTACAAACAGTAGGAAGAGCACAAACAATGGGAGGTGAGTGGGAGGCACACTCTGAAACCAATTACCTCCATATCAGCTCCTTAAAACAAGAACACACATTTTCTCTCCACAAAATATAAAGGCAATATAAGGATCAGACATACTGCTAAAAGTAATAGCAGCCAATTGTAACACACTGAGCGGTCTCTCCCGTTTGCAATCAGTTCCTCCAGGGAGGAGGAGTCAAATACAGGTGCGGGGGGGGGGGGGGGGGGGGGGGGGGGGGGGGGGGGGGGGGGGGGGGGGGGGGGGGGGGTCTCAACAGCAGCTGTCTGATGCTGTGTCAACACTATACAACATGTGAAACTTTTAATTTGTGTTTTTACATACATCACACCCAACTAGCAACAAAGCTAAGTAAAGCCCAACAGTGATGCTTCGTGACTTCTGCTCAGTGAAGTGCTAACAGACTGAGCTGTAGGCCGCTATACACCTCATTACTCCTCCCCTGCCCCACCCCCCAGAAAAAAATAAGTCCAGTCCCTTTCCACCATGACATCATTCAAAATATCAATGTTAATTTACACAAACTGCATTTAAGTCATTTGAGTCCATTAAAAAAGGAAAATGGGACAAAAATTAAAAGTTGGAAGCAGCACTACATTATTTGTTTGAATTCCCTACAGATCAGTTAGCGCTTCCTCTTCCTCTATACCCACACGTGGCGTCTGCAGTGAGCCACGGCCTGAAAGACAGAAACAAGTGGTTAGACTGGTCTCTCAAAGCAAACCTGTATGAAATAGAGTTTACTTATCAGGTTTAAGGGATCAGTTGTGAAGTACAATACGGTTAAGGGTTATCAACTATGCATTAATTACTATGTCATAGCCTTTCAAGAATACTTCACCCAAAAGATAACCATTTGTATATCAATTAACTCACGCCGCATTATGCTGAATTTGTGAAGGAAACTTTTCTTGCATGCCTCCACAGTAAATAAACAATTCACAAAACACTTATGCATACGCATAGCACGGCAGGACAGGCACGCACGTTTGAACTCTGCTTGCATTTTATGAGTTGCCACCGCATGCTACATGTCTGTAGTATGCAAGACTGTGTACATGAAACTGTTAAATAGTAAGGCTTTAGCAAAAATGCATGCGTTTAGGAAGTACTGAGCATACGACTGGATAAATGAGACTTGAATTACACTGCAAGATTTGTTTGAGAGCTTGGGGCGGCCCCCTGAAAGTCTTCAAGTAAGGCAGCTTTTTTTTTTTTGGTTTTGTGTTTTGTCAGCAAGTGTGGTTCTGGGGAAGTTTCGGTCTCCAGATTTAGCTACAGAGTTAGCAGTCCTTGCTTTCACGCTGCTCTCCAGTTCAGGCACCCAGACCCAGGGTAGGTCTGAGTGGGATTGAGGCAGCAGCGTGGAGGAAGAGAGGTTTTGCCTGGTCAGTTTCTGAGATAACGTTATCTTCTGCTATCGCCTTAAGTGCTGAATTTACAGCTCACAGCAACTTGATAAAATAGATTACTTAAATTCATCAAGATTTTTTTTCCCCCCTCTTTTTATTCTTCGTTCACTGTGGAGGCATGTGAGAAAACAAAGTGTTCATCTCAGGGTAACACTGGGAGAGTAACTTGTATACGAATTAGCATTTTGTGGGTGAAGTATTCCTTTAAAAAGATTTATACCTTTTATATAACATCTACATTTCATTACCAGAATACATGTTTGAAAGTGAAAATGACGGAACTACTCACATCACATTGGGTTGCTGTCAGCATGTTCTTACACCAGTATGTAGGTCCCCAGATGCACTGCTCTGTTCCGAGCAGCCTGCGCACAGCTTCGGGACAGGCTCCCAATTTCTGTTGCACACAAAACACACAGCTCAGATACTAGACTGGGCTAGTGCAAACCAAATATCCCACTTACTGTTCACTACCAAAAATTTATAACAAAAATAAGTGGCACAATCAATTACCATGCACACGAAGTCTGGGTCGAGCATCTGGACAAGCAGCTCGATGAGCATTGGTTCGTATTGTTGAATCATCTGGTCACACTGTTGACACAGACACACAGAGGTTAATACAAGGCTTATTAAAAGTTACACATGGTAAGGGGATCAAACTACAACTTCTCACCTCGCTCTGGAAGGAGTCAGGCAGGAAGCTGCATACTTTCCTCACAGCCTCCTCAATCTCTTCCTCTGTTGCGTTGTTCTCCAGAATACCATCGATGTAAGTGACTGCCATCTTGCACACCTTGCAGAAGTCGCCAGCCTTAAAGCGAGCCTGGTCGAGTGCAGCTAGGAAGAATTAGACAACACTTTATTACACAAGTGTGGCTTCACAGAGGCAAATAAAACAAGACAATACAATAAGACCTCTCACCTTAAAGTGCAATTTTTTTAATTTATTTTTTTTTTTTAAAGTTTGATTTTAGAGTTCACACATACACGACATGGCCTGCTTATAATAAGGCCAACTAAACAGTAAAAATAAGCAGTACAGCACTGGACAATACTGAAAAACAGTAGCTTGACTTAACAGCAAAACATTAACTGTGGTTACAGTAACAATGGAGCACATTATGTTGCAAGATTCTGGTAAAAGACTTATAGGATTATGGTTAATATTCTTCATAGAGAAATAAACAATTCAACAACATATCCTGTGTTTTCTGCAGTTTGAACCAATCATTTCTATGTCATCTACATAATTTTAGTGCGAATATTCACAATCATTTACTTTGTAATCTTGTTCTTGTGCCTCCAGTTTTATCATCAAGTGAAACTGTAAATTCGTAACATTCCTAATATGACTTGCAAAACATCTGTTGCCACCAGAGTGAACATTTACATTTAGTGTGCTGTGAAGGGTGAACTTACGGACAAAGGCGCGGCTGGCGTCATTGCAGAGTGCCAACACTGTGCAGACAGTCTTGGGGTCAGCCTGCTGCACCAGCAGCTCAATAATGGCCTGGCCGTAAGTCTCAATCAGGTCCTTACACTGGGCACTCAGAGAATTGGGCAGATATGTGCACACCTTCTCCACAGCTTGAACCACCTCCTCCTACGACAGAGACAAATGGATTAGCTAAAAAGTAGAGTTGTGTCAAACTAAATGTGTTGGCAGCAGTTTTGCAGAGTTTATTTTTACGGCCATATTAGAAACATCAAGAAGCACACATCCCACCTCTGTTTTCTGATCCTCCAACATAGCCTCCAACTGTTTCATCACAAACTCACAAATGGCACACTTTGGGGAATCACGGACACGCACCATGGGCTGAAACACAAAGAGGCAATGTCTTATGTGCATGTACAAAGAAAACAGTGCTGACAAAAGTCAGAAGTCAGGTGCCCGCTATGACTTACCTTAGAAGACTTAGCAGTGACAGACTCGACCTTGGTGGCAGGGAAAAGCTTGAGAGCAGGTACAGCCTTGGCAGCGGGGATAGCCTTGGCAGCAGGTACAGTCATGGCAGCCTGCAGCTTCAGCATGGGAATGGACTTCTTCATTTCAGTACAGAAGCCAGCGTGGGCACAGATGTCCTTGGGTTGCTGAGAGAGGAAACAGACAGTTCATTTTGGATACACAGCTGATGGTCTACACACAGTGCCTTATTGCATGCTGTTAACATAAACCATGTGTCTGTAATCTGCATATCATTCCACTACATTACCACCCATGCAATATGCAAGTTTCTATGCTACCAAAAAAAAACAAACAAAAAAAAAAAAAAACGCCTAACACAGCTCTCTTTTACTGGTACCAAACACACAGCAATGCAGACCCATACGGACAAAAAAATGTTTACTTCTCTAGCTCACAGGCATCCATTAACATCAGCCAGTGTTGAACCACCTTACGAAGTACAATAAAAGGTGGTGCTTTTTTGGGGGGTAAGGCTACTTCAGGGTTAGTAAAGACCAGTGCATCTCTTTGTTTAAACTAGCATCCAAGCATACTTTAATATGACAGCACTGTATGCTCATTTGATGTGAAGAAACAGGACAGAATCCTGATGTGGCCCCTCACTGCAGTATTACAACAGCCATTTAGGTGTCAACTCATCAGCCACACAAGCAGAGTATTCAGGTTAAGTAATGTAATCTCAATTTTGATTAGATTATCATTTACATGCATCCCAGCAGGGTTAGGTGTGCAGTGCCAGGAGTGGACAGCACAAGAAGCGAGAGCTAAGGGGTTAGGAAGCTACAAGCTGAACACAGACAGACCTACCTGTTCCTGGGGAGCAGCACACAAAACCCAGAGCAGGAGAAAACAGAGCAGGACAACATGAATGGAGGGGAGAAACGTAAAGACAGAATACAGGGCAAAAAAAAAACAAAAAAAAACAAGAAAAATAAATTAAAAGAAAGACAGAAAGCGATTTAAAGATGTGAATAAACTGAGGGCAGCAGGCCAGGTAGTGCTGCAAGACTGAATATGAGCTTAGCACTACCAAAACATACAAATGATCAGACTCATTAGTTTGATGATTATGCTTGCCATTGATTATTAGAGGATAATGACCATTTATGTTACAATGTGGCTTAAATATACAAACACAAAAAGGTTTTACTGAACTACTTTTTAAATCACTGGGGCACATGAAGAGGG